TGTACTTAGGCCGCTACGTGTACTTAGGCCGCTACGTGTACTTAGGCCGCTGCGTGTACTTAGGCCGCTACGTGTACTTAGGCCGCTACGTGTACTTAGGCTGCTACATGTACTTAGGCCGCTAGGTGTACTTAAGCCACTACGCGTACTTAGGCCGCTACGTGTTTCACATTTCGGCTCCAACTTAACGGGCGCTAAGTGATCAAAATTTGTGCGTTAGTATCACACTAATGGCTAATGTTGTTACGAACTAATGGTTAATTTTGGTTTAAAGTAATGGTTAATGTTGATATTAACTAATGGCTAATACTGGTCCGAATTACTGGTTACTATTGTTAAGAACTACTGGATGTTATTGGTACCTAACAACTAGGCACACTAAATCAGCGGCTCCGTGGGCAGTTTGGTTCTGTGCATGAGGTTGTCTGAAGCATCTGAAGCATGACTGGGTCTGATGAAGCATGTCTTGGTCTGATGAAGCATGACTTATTTTGGCTGCATTACAACATTTCACACATGGTTGTATAATTTTATTAATTATCTCATGAATATTTAGTGTATTAAATGTTAAATGGGTACTTTAACTTCTATTCAATAATAATTGTAATTTCGTAATAATGATTGTAATTTTTTGTAATAATTGTAATAATTCGCTTCGTAATTCAAGCTTGAAATGAGAGTTCTGTGATTAATATAGGTCGGAATGCGGCATTCTCCTAATAGCGTTCGGTAGTTCAGAAATTAGTGACTGGATAAGAAATTTACGACGATTGCACTCGGAATGATATAATTTAGGATGGCGACTTGCAGAAAAACGGTATTTTCAAATTACAGAGACTGTCTATTTGATAGTAGGCTACCACCAATTCGTACTGCGGTATTTATTATGTTACAGCGATTTCTAAACAATGTATAAAATTTTAAAATGCATTTCTAAATGCATGTATAAGATTTCAGTTTGTCTTATAACATAAAGCAAAAGTTTCCATCTCTCACTTAGTTTAAAATTCTGAAATGAAATTCGATTCGAGGAATAATGTCCACAGTCATTTTTTAACTGTCTATATTCCCACGCTCGTCATGATAGACATGAGATTGATCTCATGGTATTGACGTCATATCATGCTATTCATGATATTGACGTCATGTGACGTCCTAATATTCATGATATATACGTCACAATATTCATGATATTGACGTCACAATATTGTGTCCGCCAGGGCGAAGACTGCGAGACGGACAGCGTCGGGGGCGAGACGTGCGACGTGTGCAGTCTTGACGAAGACGTCGTGGGGGGCGAGAGCACGTCTAGCCTGATAAGCAGCTACCACCCACCACCTCCTGCTGCAGCCACCACTGCACCAACACCCACACACTCCTCCGCCACCTCCACCTACGCCCCAACACCAACTCTCTCGACGTCCTCCTCCACCTTCCCCATCCTCCCCACACCCGCCACCTCCGTCTTGCCGTCTCTTCCTCAGGCCAACCACAAGGTAACAGCGCCTGCGCTATTGTTTTTAGCGCATTTTCTCATGTATGAAAAAATTCCCTATTGTGCTCGTCATGTCCGTCCGTCCGTCCGTCCGTCCGTCTGTCCGTGACTTCACGTTTTCGGCAATTTTGAGAAAATGCGCTCTCTGTCATTCAGGGCAGGGAGTACCTACTGAGTTATATTTTTTTATTTAAATTTTATTGATTTTATGTTTATTTGTAGGTTTGATCCATACTCGTTATTAGATGCCCGTTTACTGGAGGATATGACGCATGAATGTGCCACGAACTTTTCTTTTGGAATCATGAAATTAAATACCGTACCTACTATTTTGACAAAGAAACGTAACTTGCTATTGCGGCAAGTTGATGCCATCTTGCACGCGTGCTGCAGGTGCTNGTTCATCACGTTGAGCGTTGTTCATCACGTTGAGCGTTGTTCATCACGTTGAGCGTTGTTCATCACGTTGAGCGTTGTTCATCACGTTGAGCGTTGTTCATCACGTTGAGCGTTGTTCATCACGTTGAGCGTTGTTCATCACGTTGAGCGTTGTTCATCACGTTGAGCGTTGTTCATCACGTTGAGCGTTGTTCATCACGTTGAGCGTTGTTCATCACGTTGAGCGTTGTTCATCACGTTGAGCGTTGTTCATCACGTTGAGCGTTGTTCATCACGTTGAGCGTTGTTCATCACGTTGAGCGTTGTTCATCACGTTGAGCGTTGTTCATCACGTTGAGCGTTGTTCATCACGTTGAGCGTTGTTCATCACGTTGAGCGTTGTTCATCACGTTGAGCGTTGTTCATCACGTTGAGCGTTGTTCATCACGTTGAGCGTTGTTCATCACGTTGAGCGTTGTTCATCACGTTGAGCGTTGTTCATCACGTTGAGCGTTGTTCATCACGTTGAGTGTTGTTCATCACGTTGAGCGTTGTTCATCACGTTGAGCGTTGTTCATCACGTTGAGCGTTGTACATCACGTTGAGCGTTGTACATCACGTTGAGCGTTGTTCATCACGTTGAGCGTTGTTCATCACGTTGAGCGTTGTTCATCACGTTGGGCGTTATTCATCACGTTGGGCGTTATTCATCGCGTTGAGCGTTGTTCATCACGTTGAGCGTTGTTCATCACGTTGAGCGTTGTTCATCACGTTGGGCGTTGTTCATCACGTTGGGCGTTGTTCATCACGTTGAGCGTTGTACATCACGTTGGACCCCCCCCGCAGGCGCGGGTGCGGGAGTGCCTGGTGAAGCTGCTGAACACCTGCGGCCAGCGCGTCGGCCTCCCCAAGAGCCCCTCCGTGAGTTGCCTTCTTACTGCTCTGTGCAGCGTACTCATCACAGTCATCATACACATCACAGTCATTATAGAGATCGCTATCATCATAATGAAACAAACGCATCACAATCATCATAATGAAACAAACGCATCACAATCATCATAATGAAACAAACGCATCACAATCATCATAATAAAGCATACGCATCAGAATCATCATAGACATCACTATCATCAAAATAAAACGTACTCATCACAATCAAAATAATGAAACATACGCATCACAATCATCATTAACATTACTATCATCGTAATGAGACGTAGCATACATCACAATCATCATAGACATTAAAATTATCATAATAGTGTAATTATAACTGTGATGTGTGCCACGCGGTGTGTTTCACATAGTATAGTGCGCGGCCACAATCATTATATTCATAATCACAGTGCGCTGCACGTGGCGTGGTCTACCCGATGATGATCTGCTAAAAAGTTACCAAAATATCTAAGTATCATTCGTTACTTAGTACAACTTGACTAACATGGCAAGGTGCAATCGGTAATGGAGATTTACTTTCTTATGTCAACATAGCCTGCGTTATGAGCACTTGAGTCTTAAAATGCCTAGCAAATTACGGACCAAGGCCCATACCTTCAAAAAAAGTCAAGATATCGAAAGTTCATCAGCCAATCATTAACGGGCTTTCAAGCAAAATCCATCAATCATAGACAAGAAAATAGAGCGCAAGTACTTACGTTCACTGGGCGAGTTTTGAAAGTATGGCCCTCAGGCAGTAAGTCCAGCTGCTATCTCAATCAATCGTCAGCTATGGAAAGATCGGGTTCCAAAGGCCGGATCCCTTGTTAATCAAAGTCACGGAAAGACAAGAATCGGCAACAGGCCATGGACCTATTTCTTCAGCGCCGACACTTCTATTCTATTTTATAACTTTTCCATGTCAACATACACTCCATTATGAACATAACTTTAACATGTCAACATACACTCCGTTATGCACATAACTTTACTATTTACACTCATTATTTTCGTCTGAAATTAATGATCATCACAACAGGAGAAGCTCGACCGCTGAGCTCGAGGCGGGACCGCCATGCCACTATCAGCCATCAACGGCTATGAAATTATACAGTAATTACTGTTGTTTACTGTAATACAGTAAATTAATTACGCTGTATAAATTAGTAATACAGCATGCCAATGACTGATCATTCTGCTGGCTGATTTATCGTGATTAGCGTGAGTGATCATTTGCAGTGATTGCTTGAAATNTTGGTCACTATATAGGGCACTTGCTTGGTCGCTAGGGCTCTTGCTTGGTCACTATATAGGGCACTTGCTTGGTCGCTAGGGCTCTTGCTTGGTCACTATATAGGGCACTTGCTTGGTCGCTAGGGCTCTTGCTTGGTCACTATATAGGGCACTTGCTTGGTCGCTAGGGCTCTTGCTTGGTCACTATATAGGGCACTTGCTTGGTTACTAGGGCACTTGCTTGGTCACTAGGGCTATTGCTTGGTCACTATATACGTAGGGCACTTGCTTTGTCGCTAGGGCTCTTGCTTGGTCACTATATAGGGCACTTGCTTGGTCGCTAGGGCACTTGCTTGGTCACTATATACGTAGGGCACTTGCTTGGTCGCTAGAGCACTTGCTTGGTTACTAGGGCACTTAATAAACAGATGCACTTTAGCCTCTTTTAAGCCTGCCATGGGAGCGTCGCCCCCTGTACCCCGGCTCCTCTCGTGGCCGACGGCGCGCATGTCACAATCGTACGACAGCCTCGGCTGCGAAAAAGGTCGCTAATTTTCGGAGGAAAGAAAATAATTACAAAGCACCCGAGGGAATGGGCGCCTCGTGAGAGTGGCTTCTCGATGTCATTGCAAAATGTTTTTTGTTTTCGTCGGAATCGACAGCGTCAATATCTCCCGAAAAATATACCCTACTTATATATCACGTATATACCTGGTTGAAAATATCTGCAGTACTCTTCACTGAACTTGCCTTGTTTACACTTGCGTATTCTGCACATATTGCCAACACTTCACTTACTGTTTGTCACACTCGCGTTGTATGTAGCTGATGAATTTTTAGCCTTTTATGTCGGAGCACTAAAACGCTTGCATATCTTCACATCATGCAAGCATTAACCATCCACTTTTGACTAATTAAAAATTATACTTGAATATTAACTTGAATTTCTCACGTTTTCTGCGTAACGAATATATTTCATTTAGATAAATTTTGCACCATGCAGATCGAGTTTCGATGCGACAACTGAAAGCAAATAAATTCACCATAATTTTTTGAAAATGTGGTGAATCTTCTTAACATTGTCTATATTTTTGAATTCCGAACCAACTAATTCGTCGTATTTTTGCTGGCAGTTTGCATCAACGTCTTTCATTAACTCCATGAACCATGTTTTTCTTTCACTCGTGTGTTTTCCGTGTGGTTGTTTGAATTTTCTGTTTTTTTTTAATTTGTGTGGTTTGTGAATGGGCGCTTGAAACCAGTTATTAATTAATACTAGCACACTATACACTAGCCTTTTAATATAATTAATAGGCTAGTGTGGCCTAATATATAGTGTGTCGTATGAATTCTAATGCTAGCTTTCCCGATGCCTCAGCAGGGCTCAGTCACCTGAATCATCATTAAAATTATTGATAAATCAGACTTGCACTCTTAGTTTTATCCTGTAAGTGTTAACATCATCCTACTTCTCTCGGTTCACACTCGTCACAAAATCTGCCGTAGAGATGCTACACCAAAGATGATCTTTTAGCTTCGTTGGTTCTCAGTGCTCAATTCTTCTTCTTAAACGGAAGAAATGCCGCTTAGTTTTGTCTCATTAACAATTTTGGCTTTGTTTGAGTGCTTAGAAAATATGATATGATTGTTTGCAAACTAAACATATATAACCTTTTTGCTTCTCTGACACTTGGCTACACGCGGCAGCAGGCTTGCAGTCAGAAAAATGAATGCTTCATATTGTCCGTATAGTGACACTTACTTACACGCAGAACTAGCAATGAAAGAAAAAAATGCCTCTCACTTATAAAGGTCACTCATTTGGACGAATTATCACTAATTTCTTTGAGTGTGTGTAAATAGGTTTGTCCTCGGCGTGTTGTCACCTGCAACGCTCTCTTCACTCACTTGCTGATTAAACAGCTATCTAACTCGTAGTTTACTTTGCTTTGACATTAACTGCTTTTATGTCAAATAATTTCATTAAATTCTTACTATTTCGACTTTACGGCTCACTTGGTAGCACGTTGCAACTGACGCACAAATGAGAAAGCTGAACTTGGATGAAGTTAAGAGTGTTTCCACAAACAATAAAATTCACGCGTTTAATTACCATTTATCTATATTTTACAGGGTGATTCACGGAAACTTCCTGATTTGAAAGCTCATTAGAAAATAACTGGTAAAGATATCATTACAGTATACATTTTATTGGAAAAGACATTACCTGAATTTTTGTATCACTTAGCTATAAAAATATCGGACGAATGACGGCACCCATTGTCGATATATCCAGTTAGTCGATTTTTAAAGTTCCTGTCAACTCGTTGAAGCATATTGACGGGTATGTTGGCGATGGCTGGCTTATGTTGTTCTTCAAATGTGGTGGCGTCTTTGGACGGTCATTGTAAATAACTGATTTAAGGTAACCTCATAAAAAATCGCACGGAGCTAAATCGTGGGATCGGGTCGGCCAAAGAAGGTCACCTGTCAAGGAGATGAGGCGCTGGGCAAAATGTTGTCTCAGAAGACCCATTGAACATCGCGCTGTGTGGGCCGTGGCTCCATCGTGTTGCAACCAGACATCCCTGGCATTCTTTTCAGCAAGTTTGGGAAATTAAGGCATCAATTATTTACGTGTACCAAGCAGCAGTCATCGTTACTGCGCGTTCGTTTTCCTTAAAGAAATGAATGTCAACTATGCCAACGTATGACTCCGCACACCACTCAGTTACGCGTTCACAATGAAATTGCCGCTGATGGAGTTTATGTTCATTGTTATCGCTACAATAACGCATGTTCTGCTTGTTTACGCTGCCGGAAATGTGGAAGTGAGGCTCATCATATGCATTTGGCGAACAATAACATCTTTTTTTGCTGAATTCTTGTGCCACAGAATATTTTTAGGGATTAAATTGCAGTTCTTAGTGGGATATTCGTACCGCACTGCTATTCTAAATCTGCAGAATAGCTGCGTGTTTACTTACTGAACAATGCGGAGAACGCAGAAACGCCTCTCTAACTCGACGTTTTCGGGTGTTGTGGCAGTCCACTGACCTTCAAGACCGTCTTGCATTCACACTTTTACTTGCCCTGAATGTGTTCCCCCACGTAACAATCTATTTTCGATCAGGAACCCGACCTTAAGGACGAATACGGAACCGAGTATGGAATGACTGTTGTTTGTTTGAGCAGCAATAATGAAACGGCCATTAAAAAATTACTTCGACAGCAAACGCAGGCTTCTCACTTGTCCAACGCATAGTAGCAACTGACTAAGCGGGACACAAAACTTTATTACCTTGCCTAGCCCTGAATGTGTTCACCCACGTAACAATCGATTTTCGATCAGGAACCCGACCTTAAGGACGAAAACGGAACCGAGTATGGAATTCTTGTTGTTTGTTTGAGCAGCAATAATGGAACGGCCATTAAAAAACCACTTCGACAGCAAACGCACGATGCTCACTTGTCCAATACATAGTGGCATCTGACTAGGCGGGACACAAAACTTCATGACCTTGCCTTTCGTATATAGAATAATCTCTTCCCTTTTCCTACAACATTTGACTGCTTGACGCCAAATACAAAACGAGAAGTTTTTGTGAATCACCCTGTGTTAATTACTTCCCAAAGTTAATTACTTCCCGTCAGAAATTGAAATAATTAGGTCATATAAGTACGTTTCGTTGCACATGATAAGTTCCTGAAGATCTAAATCCCTGCCTCTTCGTCCAGGTGATCTTCAGCCAAAGTTCGGAGCTGGAGCGGCAGTCCTCCATGGCCTCGTCCACTGAAGAGGTGTCCGCCGCTGCAGGAGGCGACGACCGAACTCCTGCAGATGACATCACTTCCTCCGAGAACCACTTCGCTGTCTTTAAGGACTTTGACTTCCTCGAATACGAGCTCGAGAGCCAAGGGGTAAGTTCACTTAAATTATTTGATTTCTCGAATTCGGGTCGAGAGCCAAGTGGTCTGTTTGCTTCAATTATTTGAATTATTTGATTTCTCGAATTCATCATCGAGAGCTAGGAGGTCAGTTTACTTTAATTTTTCTGTACTTTGATCGAGAGCCAAGGAGTCAGATCGTCTAATTTGGATAAAGTCCACAAGTTGTAAGATCCATTGTTTGACTTGAAATCAACTCATTCTTTACTTTTGGGTTCTGGTGCATTATTTGTTTCTGCATTCATTACCACGGAGCTTAAATTGATTCATAAATCACTCGGGATAAAAATGATTAAAGTAATTCAATACGTTCCATCAGGAGGAGAGTGTTGACAACTTCAACTTGTGGGGCGTACGGCGTCGCTCTCCGACCAACTCCTCAGCTGCCACTGGGGACACTCCTGCCATCTCTCAGCCCCTGAGTCAGCAACTGCCCCAGGATATCCCCAGTCCTGCTAGTCCCCCCAGTCCTCCCCCCGAGCCAGACTGGTGGAGGGATGAGGATGGCTCAGTCTCACCCGTGGACGACTCTAGCCTCCCCACATCCCACACCGATATGCCCATCGGCAAGTCTGTTCTGCCGTCGGAGCGCCTGAAGCAAGTAGGGGAGGAGGATGGGGAGGAAGAAGGGGGTAGACCGTCCTTATCTCAAGATGGCGCAGGTCTGCACATGGCACTACAGCCCCCGGGCACGCTGCAGTTGACGGCCGCTGCGTCTGCCATGAGGCCTTCGTCTCGTGGCTCTCTGTCTGAGTGAGTGGCGTCACTCATGTGCGTATTTTCCCTGTAAAGTCGGCCCCTTTTGGCCGACGTATTTTGCCTGTAAAGTCGGCCCCTTCTTGGCCGACGTATTTTTTCCTGTAAAGTCGGTCCCTTCTTGGCCGACGTATTTTGCCTGTAAAGTCGGTCCCCTTTTTGGCCGACGTGTTTTGCCTGTAAGTCGGCCCCTTTTGAGGAGCCTGTCAAAGTGTACAGTGTATAGCACAAGCTGAGTAGGATCTACACAACAGCCTATGAGAGCGACGTGTTTACACATAATAATTTAAGTTCTTTATACACCGCACGGCAGCACAAACAAGGTATAACGTCTACCGTCTAGTAATGCTGCGAGTGGAATAGACGCTTATGTCTTCCTGATTTTTATTTACATTTTACATTTTTTTTATTTACATTTTTCATTTCATCTTGAAAATGTTTTATGAACTGAGGTATACGGTATTGTATGTGAGCGAAATTGAGTGAAGGATGTGATATGTTTTTTTGCTACATTATCATATATTTTTACTACATTATCATATAAAAGTGTTCAGTTTGTTATCAATTTGAAAATGTTGTTCATTTTTCGAGATGCATTACAAGACTATCCGGTCTTCTGAACTAATTGTCATGAGCTATTGTTCAAAACTGTTCTAGTCAGCCTTTTTCTACGTATTATACGCCTTGAGACTTCATGCAATTTTCCAATAATTTACCATCATAATCCATGATGATAACGCTTTCGATCCTGCACATTTACGTTTAGATCACATCTACGCTTTCGGTCAAGCACATTTGCATTGTTTTAGCAGTTATTTACCTCGCAAGTTCTTCATCACATTTATTATGGTGACAAATCAACCTTTCAGTCACTTATATAGGTCAATTATCCATTAACATGATCCCCCAGATTTTCGTGCATCTATTCGCTGTTTTTCCTCACATTTCTTTATGGTAAGAAATCAACCCTTCAGTCGCTTATATAACTCAATAATGCACTAACCTAATCCCCCAGGGATGACAGCAGTGAGGAGGACCTGGGTGACCTGACGCCCTGCAACGCGCCCCCCAGCCTGCTGTTCCCGACACGCCCCCCGGAGCACCCGCTGCACTGCTGCTGGCGGGCACACCTCTCCAGCCTCACCAGCCTCGGGGCTGGTCTAGCCTCACCTGCCTACTCCTGTGCGCTCTTCTCTGCTCTCTTCTCGGTCAGTCCTGCGCAGAGGCTTTATCTTTGTATTGATATACATCTCACTATGTTATATTTGCACCTTATATATATTATATAAAAACATTGTATTGATCAACATCTCATTCTATCATATTCACCCCTTATATATACCTATTATTATAACATTCGAAAGCCGGTGTAGTGGAAAAAGGTTTATATTCGAGCCAATTAACAGGACGCTACGGAGCTCCTTTACATTGAAGAGTTTGTTATAATTTTTAAGAATTCATGTCGTCTGACAAATTTCTATCCCTTTTTCTGCAATGCATTTTTATATGCGCCATCTCAATCGTTAGACTTTATTGCTCTGGTGTTTGCAGTTTTTTAATTTAAAATTTTAAATTAAACATTTTTTATTTAAATTTTTAAACTAAATGTTTTGTATTTAAATTTTGAAATTAAATGTTTTTAACATAACTGTCTTGTTGACACAGGAGTGCGTGAACAAGACGCTGAGCGCCGTGCGGGAGGCGGCGCCGCTGCTCGGCCACCTGGGCAACGCCACGGCGACCCTCGTAGCCAACTTCGAGGTTCGTTATCTAGTGATTATTTTCTTCCATGTATAAGGTTTATTAGTGCGCTATTTCACCTCATCCAGTTACGTGAAATGGCGTGTGAATGCGTTTGGTTCTCTCGTAAACTTGGTTCATGGTTCGAGGAGTCAGTCAACATACTACTTACTCCAGGCTAAGGGTTAGGCTCACTCCAGGCTAAGTTAGTCTTACACCTGCTATAGGACTGCAGGATATCCCTGAAACACTATGCCAGCTTCTGTAACTTCAGCTCTTTTTTGATGCCGGTTTTTATTGGGAGCCGTAAGACCTAACAATTTGGTAAAGCCTTCGACTCATTAAACGGTCGTTTTTATCCCTTTTACAGTAGGTACTATTTTTACTATCGATTTTTTTAATGTTCTTTTAAATGTATAATGATAATGTTACATGTTCATTATATTACATGTTGATTACGTTACATGCTCATTACGTTACATGTTCATTAAATTACATGTTCATCCTTACATGTTCATTACGTTACATGTTCATTATATTATGTGTTCATTACGTTACATGTTCATAACGTTACATGTTCATTATGTTACATGTTCATTACGTTACATGTTCATTACGTTACATACTGCTTTCACTGTGTACGTACCCTCAGACCTTACAATTTCTTAAAGCCTTCGACTCATTAACACGGTCATTGTGATCCCTGTAACAGTATTATTTATGCTACTAATTTTTGTACATTTTTTTTATCCATTCAGCTTGTAACGTGTCTTCAAAAATTCTGCTATACCAAACGCCATTATAATCACTTAATAAGATCATAATAATAATATTTAAATATCGATAAATCGCACTCCATTACGTGTTGGGTCCAGAAAATATCCAATTCAGTCACTACGCACTCAAATGGGAAGCAATCTTGCAATGTATTTTTGGAAGAGTTTTATTGCTACTCCACGATATTTTGTTATTTTGATTTTTTTAATGTACGGTATATTGATAATTTTATATGTTTATTATGTTATTTATTTATTATATTACATATTTCTTATATGATTATTATGTTACATGTTTATAACGTCTACCCCCGTGTCGGCAGGCTGTAGGGTGCGCGGCGCCGCTGCCGTACGTGTACCTGGACGCGGCGCTGCTGGAGCGCTGCGCTGTGGCGGCCAAAGTTCGGTCATTTTTTCTAACTGAGTCTGTCATTCTTTGTTGACATAAGATATAATTTCATAATATTGCTGTACTGTTGTTTATCTACTCAAGATTAACCATAGTAAATTTTTTACCGTCAACTCTTGCACCAGTGGTTAGTATCAATTATTTACCAGGTAGTATATACTATATACCAGTTAGTATATGATAATATTTAATTATTGTGTGGGTGGTGTACCAGGTATAATATGATTGTATATAATCATTGTGCAGGTGGTGTACCAGTTAGTACATAGTATTACCTATTTAATCACATTTCAGGTTGTAGACGCGCTGCGAGGTTCTGTTATGAAGGTGTCGGTGATGAGCGACTCAGGAGAGAGCAGCACCAGCAGGGGGTACAGTGAGGAGGTGGAGGTGTGTAGGGCGCTCTACAGGCTACACTTCCAAGTGTCTCTACTCTACGACAGCTACGCCAAGATGCTGCTACTGCTCCTGCATGCTGCACGACATGCTGCTACACAGGTCTTACTTTTTTCATGACATTCTATTCAACCAAAGGCAGGGTGTATATTCCTGTATGAAATTAAAATTGATTCATGAGAGTTCATTTTGATTTGTGAATGTAATTCAATCCGAGCGACAAATACCGAGGTTGATACTTTTCAATGCTCATTACAATTGAAATTTGAGATATTCACTTCATTGTTTCATAGTATGTACACCCCACCATTTACCGAGGTCAGTCTCTGCCACACAGGGTTGTATAGTTTTATTAACTATCTCATGCGTATTTATTATATTAAATGTCAAATGAAAGCTTCAACTTGTATTCAATAATACGTAATTTTGATCGGCTTCGAAATTCAAGCTCGAAATAAGAGTTCTGTGATTAATTGGAACGCGAGATTCTTCCCAAATAGTGTTCGGTAGTTTTGAAATTAGTGACTGGATAGGAAATTTACGGCGATTGCACTCGGAATGATGGAATTTAGGATAATGACTTGCAGGTTAAGGGTATTTTCAAATTTCAGAGATTATTTTTTATAGGCAACCACCATTTCGTACTGCTGCTGTATTAGGTTACATCGATTTTTAAAGTACAATAAATGCACGAATAAGATTTTAGTTTGTCTTATAACAAATAGCAAAAATTTCATCTCTTACGTAGTTTAAAATTCTGAAATGAAATTCGATTCTAGGAATAATGTCCACAGTATTTTTTTAACTGTCTAAATTCCCACGTTCGTCATGATAGTCGTGATATAGACGTCATGATAATGACGTATTGACGTCACAATATTCTATCCGCCAGGGCGAGGACTGCGAGACGGACGACGTGTGCAGTCTTGACGAAGACGTCGTGGGGGGCGAGAGCACATCTAGCCTGATGAGCAGCTACCACCCACCACCTCCTGCTGTAGCCACCACTGCACCAACACCCACACACTCCTCCGCCACCTCCACCTACGCCCCAACACCAACTCTCTCGACGTCCTCCTCCACCTTCCCCATCCTCCCCACACCCGCCACCTCCGTCCTGCCGTCTCTTCCTCAAGCCAACCACAAGGTACGCCTTCGCTATTGATTTTAGCACATTTTCTCATTTATAAAAAAATGCCTTATTGTGCACGTCATGTCTGTCCATCCGTCCGTCTGTCCGTGACTTCACGTTTTCGTAGATTTTGAGAAAATGCGCTCTCTGTCACTTACTGCAGTGAGTACAGAGTTATATATTTTTATTATTTTATTGATTGTTATGTTTATTAGTTGGATCGATCCATACTCGTTATTATATGTCCGTTTACTGGAGGATACGACACATGAATGTGCATGAACCTTCCTTCTGGAATCATCAAATTAATTACTATTTGAACAATGAAACGTAACTTGCTATTGCGGCAAATGTATTCCGGCACGTTGATGTCATATTGTACCGCGTGCTGCAGGTGTTGCAATTGGTGGCGAACCAGAAGTGGCGTGAAGTGGTGCAGTACAGCGACGAGAACAGCGTGGTGTGGCAGCAACCTGGCATGCCACATCACAACATCACCACCGTGCTCAACATCTACTGCACTTACTTGGCAGAGAAGCAGCCAGGTGCAGTGCTGCTGCTCATTAAACATAGCGTTATCTCTTAGCCCAGATATAAATTTTCTAGATATTTACTATTATTATTATTATATTTTGCTGCCAGTAGCCTTCTTTTCTATTCATTCAAGAGAGCACTTTCTAGTCACTGTCCTGTTGTGTATAATCATTGCCGTTTGTAAAACATATTCGGTCATTCGTTAAACGGAATGGCATTAAAATCGTAACTCTGATTTGCAGGGATGATCGCCGTGTGCTGCACTGAGGCTTATCTTAGCGAGACTTCCCAGCAGTTGGCCGACGCTAATCTCGCAGCCCTAGCAGCTCTGCGCCTCATGGAGACTGAGCAGCAACTGCTGGGGCAGGGAAGCAGCAGCGGCTTGCTCCCCAGCACAGGACCTCAGCTCTCTGGCCAACACGCGTCACTCTACTCGACGGCCGCCGGCAGCACGTCACCGCAGTCACAGCCTCTGGGACTCTACTCGTCAGCTGCCCAGTCCCTGCACTCGTCGCAGCACGCAACGTTGCAGTGTTGCCAACCCTCGTCATCCCAACAGGTCATGACGCTAAATCGACGCAGGAATGCGTCCTCGCACAGCCCTCACTCCTCCATGAGTGACGCTGGCGTTACGGCCGTCACAGCACCCGACCTCTCGTCGCCCGTTGTGTCACAACCTCACAGTCCAGACTTAGCAAGTCTCAGTCAGTCGTACAGCTCACGTATCAGTCACGGATCTCCCGCAACAAGTCCACTTCGAGGCACCGCACCACAGTCCTTTAGTCGCCAAAAGTCCGCCAGCGCCGCCGTCCTACTGACCAGCTCTCACGGGCTCTCTAGTCCGCCGCTGCCCAGGAGCTCAGGGCTCTCTGAGCAGTCAGAGAGCCCTGCTCAGAGGGGGGCACTGCAGGGCTCTCAGAGCTCTGCTCAGAGAGCCCTGCTCTCTGAGCAGTCAGAAAGCCCTGTCGGAGCCGACTCTGTTGTCGGCTCCGACAAGCAGTCAAGTTCTCAGCCGTGCTCGCCGCACCGCAGCACCCCGTGCTGATTCTTCAGCTGACCACGCGGCCTCTGCGTCGTCCCCGCTGTTGAATCTCTGCAGAAACTCTGAGCCGCGCGCCCGTGATGTCTCATAAAATCTCCGTTGTTCATCACGTTGAGCGTTGTTCATCACGTTGGGCGTTGTTCATCGCGTTGAGCGTTGTTCATCACGTTGGGCGTTGTTCATCGCGTTGAGCGTTGTTCATCACGTTGAGCGTTGTTCATCACGTTGGGCGTTGTTCATCGCGTTGAGCGTTGTTCATCACGTTGGGCGTTGTTCATCGCGTTGAGCGTTGTTCATCACGTTGAGCGTTGTNATGTTAAAGGACTTGTTGGTTTAACACGTTATTTTTTGGTGAAAATTGCGATATGTTCTGCCATTATTTCAAGGATTTAATTGGTAAAAAATTCATTCCCAGGTTTCTAAATGAAGGACTGATATTCGCTGATCTTTACAATAAATCTTTTATAGACATTTTACATTAATAGCTTAGAATTTCCCTGGTGTATAGTTCCATTTCGAATCTCGTAGTCTAAAATTCATGTTACGCTGATGTCCACTTGTAGGGAAAAAATGTTTCTTGCTGTTTCAATTCCTAATTCTTTGTAGAAGTTTCTGCCACACTTATGATATTGGCAGAGGTCAGTTATTTTTCAATTAATGGTCTGTTCTTTGCATTTGAATCTAAATATAAGTTATCTGCTACTTATTTCGTATCTCACATATATTATACTATAATTTTAGTTGCTATCTATACATTTTTTGGCTATCCAGGAATTTAGAAAGATTTTTTGGCTATGGTTTATTTTGAAAACTATCAGTAGCTGCAGCAGTTGTATCGTGCTGCACAGTAGCTGCAGCAGTTGTATCGTGCTGCACAGTAGCTGCAGCAGTTGTGTCGTGCTGCACAGTAGCTGCAGCAGTTGTATCGTGCTGCGCAGTAGCTGCAGCAGTTGTATCGTGCTGCACAGTAGCTGCAGATGTGGCTGCGTGTACGGTTGCCTCCTTGAACTCTTGTTTCTTCTGTAATCCGTTGCGTAAGTTTTATTCTAGATCTCATTTACCTATAAACAAGTCATTATAAGATAAAGATTCAAGATGCTTTGCTTGCGTGTCATCTGCTACCTCACCTCGCCGAGACAAATCCAATTTCTTGCGATTGACAATCCATGAAACCTTCACTTGCACCTTCTAAAAAGCTGGTAAGCAAATGAAATCCACACATTTTCAGTTTTATAAGTGAGAAGAAAGAATTTTAGGTTACTTTTGCCAAATATTTTCGACCTTGCTAGAGAATGTGGGCATTTGATTAATATCTGTTGGACGTCCGTAAGTAAATCTACTCCATATGTAGATATATTTATGTTTAGGCCAACATTAGTCTGATTCCGCGTGCATGAAAACTCCAAGGTTTTCACAATTGATTTATTAATGAGAGAACATTTGTTAATCATGGATTTGTTGATGCTCCGATGGAAAAGCTTTTCTTACGAAGCAAAATTCAGTTAAATTTTCAATCCATATTGCTAAGTACAGGAGATATGTTGGAGCAATAATTTCTGAATTATTCCTATGAATACATTTATTGATGATATGCTATCCCTGACTTACGGCGTGAGGAGAGCAGCAAAACTATATTAAGCGCTCAAAATACATCTATAAATAAATGCAAATATATATATTTGTATGGTTAGTGAATAAGCCTTCCGTTTATTATGTTCAATATTTAAGTGAAGAGAATTGTGTTCAGCTTCCTCTTTTACTTTCCTTGATCCGAGATATATTCATGGGGACATAACATGCACATCCTGCTACAATAGTGCAAACATCTGTTCTATGCATACTACAATAGTCCGAACATCATCTGTTCTGGCGAATAAATCGTTATGGATGGACCTTTCATTGTTGCCTGCTCAATAATCGTGATTAACTTTGGTTCATTTCATTGCGCTAGGGACAGTTTCGGATTGAAATTCACAATTCTTTAGTCAAAGAACCATCAGAAGATCACTAGTTTTTCTAGAATTAGTTCACATGTATGAGAAATGAGTAAATAATTTGTGCGTACGTTTTTGAAATTGTATGGTAAAACCGTGCATTGATTAAACGCTGAAATTGTACTGAATTCTTAGCATTTTCACTATCTGATTAACGCGGCTTCCTATCAGTAGCAGCGTTCCCACAGCAGCTGCTACTGGAGATAGCCAAGCAGCTGGCTATTTTCAGGTCGATGTCAGTTTATTCTTCATTGTTCTAGAAAAGTACGAAGTAGATCGTTCCTTACTTACGGAGTCGTTTATTAGAAAAAATTCAACGTTAATTTTCTTGCTGAGTGTCAATTTTCGTTAAATTATTCGCCTACGTTGAAATGGCGCGGGCATCTGACGTTTAGCAAAACCACTTTTGTGTTTGTTGGGGCGGATTATAAATTTTTTTGAGCTGTTTTTCAACTTTTTGCAACATTTTCATTACTTTTCTGAATATTCAATTCTAATTCTGGAGAAAAAAAATGAAAGAGTGCTGAACGAGAATTTCTCCATTTGCATATTGTTTTCCACTTTTACAAATTCTGAAATTATAAATTTCTGATGCACGCCTTCAGAAGGATTCTCTGAGATGGGCTGTTGCCATCTCAACATCCATGGGACTTTGGCTTCCCAGAGGCACCTCTCTTTGCCACATTCTAAACCTAAACCTGCATTAACTTAATGTAGCCAAAATTCGTCTTAGCTGTTGTTTCTAACCTAAAATTAGGACAATAACGTGAGCTCTAGCCTGTCCTCTGAAGAAATAGGCTCGGTTTTACAACGATCATTTATGCAAGAACAATTTTTCGTTACTCAAGATTTATTTGAAAATTGAAGAATTTACTTTGTGTTAATCATAGGGTTCGGCCAACTAATAGGGTATATTATAGTGCATAACTATATCAGAAGTCCCCGGCAGAAGTACCTGTGCCAAGTGTTAGTTTTAATTCTTGGGCGTGATGTGCCGACTATGTTATGTCTTCTTGACCGCATCCTCGTACTCGTAGAGTACCCACACAGTGGAAGCAGGTTGCCAGCGTGCTGGTTACCTGCTAAGGCTGGCGCCTGAAATTGAAATAAATAGGCCTTGGGCTGGCCTATTCGTACAGGTTTTCACTGTCAACACTAACATTATTATCCTATGTTCATTCTTGTGCAGGTTGGAGCAGGTGTCCCGCACGCTGGCAACCTGCTTTCACTGTTTGGGTACCCATAAGCCCCTTTCACACAGGGCAGTAGATACTGCGCGCGTCAAAAATGCCGCGGCAGTATTTACAACCTTGTCACTTCGTCTCTTTGAGATGCTAACGCTGCTTCCTTCGAGCCAGCTTCAGCGGGCTGGACATCTGAGACCTTCCGCCCCTTGTGGGTGATGAATAATTGAGACCTTCCACCTTTATGGTGATGTTCATCTTGACTTTCGGTGCGAGATAGCTAAATAGCTGAAGCGCTAGTAAACATTTGGCCACTAAACTAACTAACTAACTCGTGCCTCATAAAACTGACAAATCTTCATCTGATGTTATTTGATACGCTTCCTTTACTTCTTTTCTTTACTTGTTTACCCGTTTTTATTGACTGTCGATGGAAGAAGATGGACTGTCAAGCTCTCCATTTTACAAATAAAGTTTTGATGCTAACATTATTATAGTGGTACTCTTGCATAAGTATTTCATGTATGTTCCAGGTGTTTGCATTTGTGCTGGAGTGCAACAGTTCTGTGTGGAGCAAGTTTGACTGGGAGAAACTCACTACCATCGTAATGTTCAACTTCTACGACATCGACCTGCTCAAACATGCACACGACAACGGCGTAGTGGTCGCTAAAATGGGCGAGTTTTGTTATCCGTGACTGATGTTTTTCATATTGCATTCATCTCTAATAATTCATAACGAATATGATGGACGAATTCTTCATGTTTGATATTACGTAATACGTATTTCCTAAAGTTACGGACTTGACCACCGCATTGAATCGTGTAGGCAAAATTTGGTGTTAGTACGTTTTCTGTAACGATGTATTTGGTGAAAATTCTATCCAAATCATGGACTTTGGCTAAAAAAGAACGGAAGGAATGCCCACGCACAATTGAGACTCACATCCTAAATTCTGTTAACAGAAAACATTGCCAAATCGGACTTGGCGAACTCGACGGCGCGGGCGGAATGGGTTGCCACGCAGGTGGACGACGTCGTGCAGAAGGGACTTGACGGCTTCAACTTCGACTTCGAGGATCCCCTCGACCCTGACAGTCCTGAGAGCCACGGCTACACGGCGCTGGTTAAGGAGCTCAGAGAAGCTCTCCTGGCAGCTCTGCCTGCAGCTCAGGTGCCTCACCTTATGAGCATCAACTAAATTCTCTGCGGTCAAAACATATCGCGTTATTTAACTCTTAATTAAACAGGAGGAATTTGTTGGGAAAAGCGCATTTAATCGTCCAGATTGGATACAGAAGTGTGGACGTATTCTCTGACAAATGAATGTGTCAATATAATCCTATTCGGGAAGGCGTGATCTAATTTGTTTAAAGTCCATATGTGCAGGTGTGATGGAGTGTGTGCCTATACCCCTGATAAATGTACAGCCTCGCGGCCACCATCTTATGGTCTGATGTGCAGGTGTGATGTAATGCGTGCCTATACCCCGATAAATGCACAACTGCCTTCTGGTTTGATGTATGATATTATATACCGACGTAGGTGTCGGTTGACGTGGCGTGGTCCGCTGCTGGCATCGACGGCCGCTTCTACGACTACACTGGCTTGGCTGCCAATTCTGATCTGCTTTTTGTGATGGCTTATGACGAAATGAGTCAAATTTGGGACGAGCCTTGCAATGCCAGGTAGTAACCTGCATTATAAAAGTCAACTGAACTCCATAGGCTGTATTTTATCGTAACAGGTTTCACTGTTGTTTTTGGTCGTGATGTTTTAGTAACCAGGATTGATCGTGCGCGCGTCGATCGCAGAAAGAATGATTAAGATAAGTCGTTACCAATTTTCCGAGGACGCCTTGGCAATTTATTTCAATTGACAGCTTTTTGAAATGGAGTTCACACACAAAAAAACAGACATTTTCACTATGTTGGACTTGACATGTTCGTGTTTAGTGATAAGTACACCATCGGTGTTTAATTTGTCAAAGTTTTAAAAAAATTGTTACTTGCATATTTTTTCAGACCAAACTCTAACCTGACCTACGCAGAGGAGGGCATCATGACGTACCAAGCTCTGGGCATAGAGAACTCAAAGCTCGTATTGGGGCTACCGTGGTACGGCTACGTGTACCGCTGCATTGAGTACTTCCCTGTGAGTTATTTTGTATCGAGTACTTCAGCAGTTTGAAAATGAACCTTGTAATGTGGGTGTCAATATACGTAAAAGTTTTTATTGTTATTTAAAAATACTTCATTAAAATTACTAATTGATTTATCCAATGAAAGAAAAAATTCAATATACAATGAAGTGCAAATGTTGAGGACTTTTGATGACTCTAAAAAACAAAATTATCGAATTATTTTCACAAATTTATTTATGACCCATAACCTAAACGGACCACGTACATTTTTGATGCCACAATTCCTATATATGCTAATATTAAATATAAATGTATATATAATATAATACAACTATAATTCATATTTATTAACATTGAAAGTTATTTGGTTGCTCGAAACACTTGATCTTAATCATGAAAGCTTAACCACATCTTAATTTTGAAGAGTCGCGTGTAAATCAATTATTTGGTCTTGACATGCTCGTTACTTGTGACATTCAAAACCAAGACTCGTTAATATATTGAATAGAACTGTCTGTAATATTATTGCTTGCGTTATTTTCCCAGGATAATGAAACTTGTCTGATCGAGGAAGTTCTGATATCTTGAATAGAACTGACTGCGATATTATTGTTTGCGTTGTTTTCCCAGAATAATGAGACTTGTCTGATCGAGGAAGTTCTGATATCTTGAATAGAACTGACTGCGATATTATTGTTTGCGTTATTTTCCCAGGATAATGAAACTTGTCTGATCGAGGAAATTCCGTTCCGCGGCTGTCCGTGCAGCGACGCCGCAGGCCGCCAGTACGAGTACCGCCTCCTTCAGGACCTCCTGCGGGAGAGGAACCTTACAGAGCTGTGGGACCCCAGCAGCCACACGCCCTACTTCACCTTCACGGTGGGTCCACAGTCACGGTCATGTTGGCTCATGCAGTATTTTAGAATAGAAGTGTGGGCACTGAAGAAATAGGCCCATGGCCTGTTGCCGATTCTTGAATTTTTCGTGACTTGATTCACAAGGAATCCGGCCTTTGGAACCCGATCTTTCCATAACTGACGATTGATTGAGATAGCTGCTGGACTTATTGCCTGGTCCGTAATTTGCTAGGCATTTTAAGACTGAACATATGCTCCTGCATAGCTTCGTCTGGACTTATTGCCTGGTCCGTAATTTGCTAGGCATTTTAAGACTGAACATATGCTCCTGCATAGCTTCGTCTAGTCTGTTCTTGAAGGCGTCATTTATTATTAAATAATTTTTAATTCTTCATATATCGCTATCTTAACGAGAAGGTCGTTTATATTGTTGAAATTTTTGGCCTAGGTTGAGGTGACTATATTAGCGAGGGAGCTTGTGGTGGAAAATAACAAGCTCGAATACATCAACATGCAATCCAGGCTGTAACAGCTCTCATGACATAAATAACAGCCTCTCAATAGACTGCAGATAAATCAGTGTTCAGTATATTTCCGTTTCCAAAGGGCGTGAATCAAAATTTCATGGTATTTGTTAGGAAAGGTATCGTTCTTGCCAAATTGAATGTGGACAAATTTTACTACATAACATTTAGTGTTTTACGCTTATGTTCTGTACTGACAGACCATAGGTAGCACGTTTATCCGGAAGGATAACGGCACCACGTTTCTCCGGTAGGATAACGGCACCACGTTTATCCGGAAGGATAACGGCACCACGTTTATCCGGTAGGATAACGACACCACGTTTATCCGGTAGGATAACGACACCACGTTTCTCCGGTAGGATAACGGCACCACGTTTATCCGGTAGGATAACGACACCACGTTTCTCCGGTAGGATAACGACACCACGTTTATCCGGTAGGATAACGGCACCACGTTTATCCGGTAGGATAACGGCACCATGTTTCTCCGGTAGGATAACGGCACCACGTTTATCCGGTAGGATAACGGCACCACGTTTCTCCGGTAGGATAACGGCACCGTGTACCAAGTGCGCCACGACAACCCGCGCAGTCTGCTGGACAAGACAACGTACGCGCGGTCTGAGGGCCTGGCGGGGGCGGGGATGTGGGCGGCCAACTTCCTCGACTACAGCGACACGCCGGAGGGACAGATGCAGCGCGACGCCATGTGGGGCGTCATGCCTTGACACTCATTAATAATATTGTAAGGCACATCTGTTGTAATGTTGCTTCAGCAAGGGAGCGCGGCTTTATCTTGACATTCATTAATATCTTAGTATAAACACGGGTAGTTAATGACCAGAGAAATCATTGGTTCAAGTTTTCAGGATCGAACAATATTCTTCAGATGACATTGGTTGATCGAAATTCAGGTTCAATGTCATCTGAAGAATATTGTTCGATCCTGAAATTTTGAATCAATGATTTCTCTGGTCATTAAGTACCCGTGTTTAAACAAGCTTATTCTGCTATCTTATACTAATATCATAGTAATGCACATCAGTTTTAATGTTGCTTCAGCAGAGGCGTGCGACTTTATGCGTTCGCCACGCGTGGCCTACATAGTCATTTTCAGTCATGCAGACTGAAATTTACAATTAAGAAAGTTTTTTGAAGATCAATGAAGGCTCATATATATCCAAAACCTAGCACATGGAGGAATTTATCCAATGAATAAATAAATTTATAAATTCTTTACAGAGTAATATTTATGATTTTACAGCCAAATTGAACATTTCATAAAATTTGTTCAATGTTACGTATTTTCTGAAATTTCTCTATGAATATCCATAATTTCAGTGCGGTTAATAAAATTATGGCTAAAATTGGAAAAAAAATCAATCATTGACCTATTCAATGCAGTTACAGCTGGTGCAGAAATTTGCAAAGATTTGAATGCCCCAACAAATTTGTAACTCTTGTGGATCATTTTCGAAGCATCTCTAGCTTATCATTCACTCTAGGCATATTGAGCAAATCTTATATGTTCCAGTTCTGTATACATTTTCCAACAATATTTTTAATTTTTAAATCAAACTTTAGAGTTATGTTTTCCAAATACACTCATTTGGAATTTAAAAAAAAGTGAAAATTATTTTATTTTATATAAAAAAATATTTGTGAAAAATATTGAGCGATCGCGACGCCTGTTATCGACCACCAGTGACTTGGTCGCTAACGGCTGCATCCAATTCAACAATACATTCTTTGAACACGGATTGCCAGCTGATGTTTCCTGTCCGAATTCACCCGAGTTAGTTTTGATATTTAATGGTTTAATTTAGCTAATCACTCACCGATTGTATTCCAACGAAAATCAATATCGCTTACACTATATCAGGCTCCCCGTAGCTGCTCGAGGCCATTGATTCTCAGACTGTTTCAGTAAGAGACGTACTGCAGTAGATGACCAATCTGCAGTAGATGTATATATAGATGATCTATTTGATTACTACCAAGCCTAATGTGACCCCATATGTAAAGGCCTTCTGTAAACGCTCCAATTTTAAATAACGCAGATACATTTCAGATGTTAATCGTGGTAGAGAAAGCATAGAACTGGAACCTCGATCCATGACCCACAAAAAGCCTTAAGAATCCTTAGGAGGTCGTGACTGCAACTTGGGGTACAACAGCTCCGATTGTTTCATTCTGTGTGCTGCAAATGAACTTACTACGCACCGTATCAATGTTCTAGGAAAAGTCCCAGATCTTTCAATGAGGAGCTCATGAGACTGTCGCAAAGACTGTCATGTTTTCTTTTATCGCTAAAGTTGCTTTCTTGGATAATTAGAAAAATTTAAATTTTAGTGGGTTGTTATTGCCTTTTCTGTAACACTTTCCCCATTATTAGAATCTTATATATTATCCTAGTCTTTCATGATATCTTTATATTGTTTAGTGGTTCCCAGTAAACTGTGTGTTTACCGGTCTCAGCGCCCTCGTATCCAAACCCTCGGCTCAGCTATATAGGGACGATCAGCCTACGCAGACTCAGTCCCTAATCCTGGTCAGAAATAGCTTTTTTATAACCAACTTTCAAAGTAAGGTTTAATGATGAACAATGAAGCATATATATTGTATTTCTGAGAAATAATTAGGATTATAATATTTTGGCATTAATTCCTTTAATAATAAAAGAGAAAATCCAACAATGGATTTAAACATTTCATCATTCATCGACCGTGCATGCACTTCGCCGCATTTTCTCATGTCACCAGCGCACCTGCATTCAATTCTTACGAGACATTTAAGAACATAAGTCAGTCGTATGTAATGGCAGTACGCAAGTCATTAAAAGAAAGTCATTACAAGTCAATATCTAATTTGTTGAATATAACTCAAAGATTGACAATTGACTCGAGACGAAACCTTATTCTTATTACTCCAATTCTAAATCTAAGACATTTTGCGAAAGACATAGTTCATGCGAAAGTAGAAATAAGTAAATGCCGAAAAGAATCGGTATAATTTATTTTACCTGTTGGGAAATTTTGACGTTATGTCGCATAAATAACATTAAGATTTTTTAAATCTCGGATAATTTCCCAAGTTCTTCAATTTCGAAGTATGTGATGAAATGCGGAGGATAATCGAAGTTTTTGAATAACTTTGATGTCCAGAGAGGAGAGGAACGCGGTCGCATATCTGATAGTCATCAAATAAAAATAACATATAATATTATCTATATCTTCGAACACATAGTCAAAATTTATGTCATACAATTTCCTTCCGAAAAAAATGCTTCGTATTAAATTTAATTTGCTAATAGGAACTGAACCGATATGTACATACACAGAGATTACTTTGGTACAGAGACTCAGATACAGCGTGAATAATGAAATCTTGCGGGAATTAATGAAGCCTCTACGATATCAATGTTTGAATTATAGCCTGAATGTCATCAACGAAAGAACTTTGACGTAATATTGCCGTAAAATTCGCTGATCATGCAGCAAACATTTTCTGTGTAGCAAAATAAATTCGTTCGTTAGACACTGATTTCTGATAGGGTGGATGCGAAATAAGATGACTGAAGAGTTAGCAACACTTAGAAATTGTCAAGCCTATGTTAAGAATACAATTCAATATATTTCGTAAGCGTAATAGAATTATTTAGCGATAATAACAATTTTTTGTTTTAAAGATAACCGCTAAGACTCAAATCTGTCTTGCGTTTAATTCAAACATCTAGTTACGATGTAAGTCGCTCATCTTAGTTAATGACCAGAAACAATTATTTTTGAGTCATCTATCATCGTCACTCATCAAAAACAATGTCTGTCTCGTCCGTCATCGTCACTCACCACCAATAAACAAACCTCTGACTTAGCTGAACAATCAACCTCTTATTTCCACTAACCACTAAGTAGCTACCTAACAAGAACATCGTCCTACCGATAAATTATTTTGTGGCTAAAAACAGTTATACATCAGGTTGAAAATTTAAAAGCTATTTACCTCAAAATTTATGAACAGATTGCTAAAAAATTTGTAAAATTTGTATCCGAAGCTAAAACTGATGAGGAATTTCAGTGTACAGTGAGTTTAGGAATTCGATTCTCACGTCTGGTTAGGACCTGGAGCGATAAGTGTTTATTGTTATATATTCCCAAATATTAGAACTGTTTTGTTTGTTACTCAGAGATTAATAAGTAATTCGACGATATCATGGATTATAGCTGCACACAAATGACTGATTAGCCTACAAACTGCTTCCTCGTCTTGAAAGATTTTGCATAGCGCTTTAGCCAAAAATACAACCGTACGCTAGGATACGGTTGTCAATGTGTCGCTTTTATCGCCGGATGTGTCAATGTGTCGCTTTTATCGCCGGGTGTGTCAATGCGTCGCTTTTATCGCCGGATGTGTCAATGTGTCGCTTTTATCGCCGGATGTGTCAATGTGTNCAGGAGGATTTTCTGAGATAAGCCGTTGGCTATCTCAACATCCATGGGACTTTGGATTCCCAGAGGCGCCTTTCTTTACCACCTCCTAAACCTGCATTTACTTATTGTAGCCAGAGTTTACCTTAGCAGGGTGGTCCAGTGGTTAAAGTTCAGAGTACCATGATAGACGCAGAGAGGCGCGGGTTCGATCCCAGCTCAGTGCGCCAGTTTCTGGTCAGAATCGGCAAGGAGGCCGGGCGGTTAAACACAGCAAAATTGGAGCAGTAAGTTGTGTGTTCGAGACCACATCAAGCTGTGAATGTTCTGAGACGTTGAGAATCAGTGACAGGCCTACGGCCTAATAAACGCTGGAACCGCTATTATTGTTATTACTATTATTAGCTGTTGTTTTCAACCTAAAATTAGGACAATAACGCGGGTTCTAGTCTGTCCTCTGAAGAAATAGGCTCGGTTTTACAACGATCATTTATGCAAGAACAATTTTTCGTTACTCAAGATTTATTTGAAAATTGAAGAATTTAGTTTGTGTTAATCATATTCATAGGGTTCGGCCAACTAGTAGGTTAAATTATAGTGCATAACTGTAGCTCAAGTGCCCGGCAGAAGAACCTGTGCCAAGTATTGCTCAATTTTTGGGCGTGATGTGCCGACTATGCTATGTCTTCTTGACCGCATCCTTGTCTGTTATCTTACGCAGGTGTTTATTCTGCTATTAGATCGCCTATTTGCTTCAACCTTAATTCACTCGCATCTTTCACTGATTTATTTACGAAAGTTATCCAGAATTAAGTCTGTATTGAATGAATATTCAGGTTTCAAATTATATTCGGTAAACTTGAAAAGCAATTATTATACAATGTATAGAGTTATCACCGTAATGATGGCGTTGGTGGCTGCAGTGGCCGGCACAGCATCAGTAGCAAGTGACGACACGACGGACGACGTGCTGCTGCTGTCTCTGGGACAAGCGGCATTGGCCGCTCCGCACGCCCCACACGTCACGCGCTATCAAAACAAGAAAGATAAAGATGAGGTAATGCACAATACGACTTCTTGCAATTTTAGGGATTAATGTTGTTATAAAATGCGTTAACATGGGAAACGTAATGGCCAGATGTTGTTTTGAATACTGCGGGATCGTTCGTCCACATAATCAACGAAGTTTAAACATTTTCTTATAATAAATGCTTTTGCTTGATAAAGATAGGTGTTGATTTTCGTCACTAATTTTATTAATGACGATTAATTAATTAAATCATGATAAATGACTAATTGTATTTCTTAATGATTTTTTAATTTATTTTTTATCATTTTATTCGTGCCTCATAACCCCTCAGGGGGGACTTCCGACGCGTGTCTATGCTCGTCAGAAGTCCTATGGGATTTCGCGTTCCTAGGGGGATTGTTCCTGAGCGCCCCACCGCTGAGCTCGCGGTGTCTGACTGTAGGTCTCAGTTGTGGGGTTAAGATCTATAACGTTCAGTACTAAACAATATCTAAAGTCTAAACAATGTGAGTCTACCTCCTGCTTAGTTTAAGTTTCATGTATGTCTATCTCGACCTATTAACTAAATTTTAACTAATATTAAATCTTATTTTCAGCTTACGTCACTCAGCTTACGTCAATAAACGGGAGAAAAAGCAAGTCAACTTTTCCCTACCCCGTTGAGCCCGCAAACATTTGTGTCATACTACACTATATACTTACTTGCAGCACCTGATCAGTCCCTCGTCGCAGATAGAGGTAGGAACACTTACTTGAAGCACCTGGTCAGTCCCTCATCGTAGCAGAGGTAGGAACACTTACTTGCAGCGCATGGTGTAATCCTCATCGTAGTAGAGGTAGAAGCAGTCCTCACACACTTGGTTCAGTCTCTTGTAGGCATCAGCATCATACGGGCCTCTGCACTCCTCCGGATAATTCGTAATGCGTTTGTACAGCAATGATGGATAGAAGGGTAAATCATACGTTGTCATCTCGCGCTCTGAAATGCTGCGAGATTCTACTCCTTGTTGATAAGAGAATATCGTCAGCAAAAGCATTGCTATGATCATATTTTGAAAGAAAGAAACTACCAGGCTAATCATTTTCTGGTGCGAAAGAGGTGACGTGATCACAGAAAAATATCTAGACAGTTTAAATAAGTTTTAATGAGGCGGAGGCCTTTTTTCTGGCAGGGAATAAAAATGGTTTGTGATAAATAGTTGATCTTTAAGACATGACCACGCAAGAACGATGAATGATGGAGTCTCTATTACGAAGCCTTTGATCGCGTCAATGCGAGATGTGTTTTGCAGGAAAAAGTAAAATTTTACGAGAGTATAATATTATCAATGGGGCTTGAGAATATTTAGGAGGTGGAAGCTCCCGTGAAACTTTGCCTGCACGGGATTAGGAACTAGAAGTAAGCCTATGTCTGATAGCATAAACTTTCTGTTAACTAAATCGGCTGGCTAAGTCATTTCCCAACTTGAGTCGTTTCGATTTTCCTCCTTCACGCTTCGCCTGCCATGCTGCAGGGTGCTTCCGGCTGTTACTAGGAACTTCGATTTACAGGAATATTTGGGGTCAAATAATTTTAAAATACGCAATAATTAACTTTGCTTTCTGTATAGGTTGAATGACAGTAACGTTTGTGTTTCAATTGCGATATTGGATTAAAAATAGCATAAACAAGTAACCTAGCTGTCTGGTTTTGAGAGAAAAGAACTTTTGTAGTCGAATTCTGTTCATTGTTTCAAAATGCAATAATTTACTGATTTATCGATTTTTTTCTCGGCACAGGATGACCGAGCGGAATAACAATTTTAAATTGACTCCGCCGTTCCGACAGCGGTCGTTTTAAAGAAGAAATTACATAGATATTATCGAACGAAATTCATAGATGGAATAGTTCTCGATATTCGGCATTGAATGATATTGTGTAATGATAATTGATATGAATGATATGGTTGTGACTTGAATGATATGATGTAATGATAACTTCAGGATACTCAATGTTATGTCAAGAGGAGCGCCGTAGTGCAGAACTAATCCATTGCATTTGATTTTGTTCACGTCTTGGACATAGCAGATGCATTTAAGCGCAAACATTATATATATACCCTTGATTCTTTATCAAAAATCAATTACGGATCGAAAAATGAGTTGTTCCCACATAACATCCCTGTAATTCAACAACAATTGGTGTTNTGTGAATCAAGTCACGAAAAGTTCAAGAATCGGCAACAGGCCATGGGCCTATTTCTTCAGCGCCGACACTTCTATTCTATTCTATTCTATAATACAGTATCATGGAATTTTGGATAAAAACACTTATGATTGAGTAATTAATAAGATAAACATCGAAGATTAGACCCAATTAAAATGTCAAGCAACAACACGCTTCACAAAGTGCGAGGCAAATCATGTTTTAGATTTTCCAGCCACTTGCAATAGCATACATATATAATCATATATATAAGACCCTTCGACACATGCAATCGCGTATATACGTCATTCCTCACACCCAAAACTATCGCACTGAAACATTTTCTCTGTTTTTTTTTTTTTTCTTTTTGAACATCGAATCTGGGTGAAATTATTAGAAATTAAAAATAAACTAAATTCTTGATGATAATAAATAAAATTAACGTGAACAACATTGTATTTGAGTCGTTTAAAAATTGTTGTTCAATTATTTCAAAAGTTGTATTTCGCTCCATGGACAACAAGTGAAATTTTGCTTTCTACGTGGCGATCATTAATCATACCAGTTGTTCAAATTCCTAAGTGAAAACATGCAGAATCTATTTATTCAATGATTTATTCCACTTCGGAATTTGTGGTTGTTAACTTTCTAATAGAACAGGAATTTTGTACACACCTTTGAATCGGTCGCGGCATAACCCGTCACGAGTTTGCTCGTGACGTTAAGCTGGCCCCGCTGGATGGTTTGCTCGCGACGTTAAGCTGGCCCCGTTCGATGGTTTGCTCGCGACGTTAAGCTGGCCCGTTGGATGGTTTGCTCGTGACGTTAAGCTGGCCCGTTGGATGGTTTGCTCGCGACGTCAAGCTGGCTGGTCGCAGAATAAAATGATTGTCTTACGTAGCGATTCAAGTTGCACGCTTCTGACGAGCTCTCAAGCATTCGCTCTCAAACAAATTGAAAAGCTTCTTCCTCTTGATCAACAACAACTTTCAGGTAATTAAAGGCTTCCTTATCATTGAAGCATTTGTAAACAGAGAGGAAAGGTCGGCAATGACGCAATGAGCGTTCATGACATCGTGACGCTGTGGTCTATGGTTTTTAAGAGAAGGAGCGGTACAGAGTAGCACATGTAACAGTTGCTTCCACACAAAGATTAGGTGCATAGTTTCCATTCTTTATTCGTGTAATTAGTTTCCATGTATTATAGTTTATATGCTTTATTCGTGTATTCATGTGTATTCGTGTATTTACTCAAGCTGTTCTATTTAAATGTACTTGCTTAACATATGCTCTTCGAATAGCGCGCATTAATAGCGTGTAATGGAAGAGTAGCGTACGAATATTGTATAATAATTGTAATAATAAAATCATATTCTTAACAATGTTTTAACAATCTGCTAATTTTATCATATAAATTTAACATTTTTCTTTATCATATGAATAATTAAAAATGATCATTTATGAAAAATTAAATTTTTCTAGCAATTCGTAATTTCCTGTACAAAACAAAGTTTTGGCGTACGGTGTGCAATTTTAGCAAACATTAAGGATCTAGCTATTACTTGCTGGTAAATAATAATTTAAGCAAAGAGTTTCAAACCATCCACAGAGGCATAAAAATATCGTTGCATTTGACTGGAGAGCTCGTCATCCTGCAAGCGCAAGCTCGTCTGCTGCGCTCGTCAACCCGTCTACGCCATGTACAAATAGTCGAGGTCACGTCTCTCTGCGCACATTAATATCATAGTAATGCACATCTGTTTTAATGCTTTAGCAGGGGAGCGCGACTTTATTTTGACATTCATTAATATCATAGTAATGCACATCTGTTGCAATGCTTCAGCAGGGGAGCGCGACTTTATCTTGACATTCATTAATATCTTAGTATAAACACGGGTAGTTAATGGCCAGAGAAATCATTGATTCAAATTTTCAGGATCGAACAATATTCTTCAGATGACGTTGGTTGATCGAAATTCAGGTTCAATGTCATCTGAAGAATATTGTTCGATCCTGAAAATTTCCACCAATGATTTCTCTGGTCATTAACTACCCATGTTTAAACAAGTTTATTCTGCTCCCTTATACTTATATCATAGTAATGCACATCTGTTTTAATGTTGCTTCAGCAGAGGCATACGACTTTATGCGATTACAACGTGTTTTTTGTCGATGCCAAAATGGTTTTGTTGAACAATTGCCAAACAATTGTCAAAAATTTTTCCTGATCAAACTAGGGGCGTATAAATAAAGGTAGAGTAAACCCAGGTTCTTGAGGTCAACTGTGAATGTGAATTCTTTACTCATACACCATAAACTAGAGATCACGGACAGATACATGTATAATAAGGATAGTAAGCGACTTGAATTTAATTGTGATATCCAAACCAGCTAGTGCATGACTACGGGGAAACAAATTTAGTGAACTAATATCAACTACGATTTGCAGGTAACGGCGCAATGTCGATTTTTAACATAGGTTTAAGGCAACTTTTTTCAGTGCCTCCCGTCATCGATAAACATGATAGTGTCCGGTGTCAACCTGTCGTCTTATTATTATATTCATTATAATTATATTAAGGGCTGGGAACCATAGTGAGGCCGCTGCAGAAGCTAACGAGAGCGCCTCGATGTAACTCGCGTTAGAATTACACCAACTAATGGTCGACGCCGTAGCCTATACCTCTATAATATCACTCGTGTACTACCACACGGTATCAAGATAAGTTCTTTAGACAAATTGTGTCTTACTTATCCCTCACGACCTTAAGTCGCGTATCCCTAATACCCTAGACGCTAATATATAGAGCCTGACAATAGTAAATGGACGAATTACTCAATGATGTCATCTGAAAATTTTCAACGTCATAATGCAGGCACCGGGAAACTTGCGACGACAAGACGTGTAAATGTATGCAGCAAACTCGACTTGCGACGTCCTTAAATCAAGTGATGAGGCAGCCACGACAAATGCAACAGCTTTTGATCACGTCACATCAATTTTAGAAAACTGGGCATGAACGAATAAAAAAATTGAACAGTACAGCATGTTAATCGAAGACGTGATAAAAAAAGACGGCTGTAGAAAAAACTATATATTTCATATTGCACTATACAAGTCATCTGAAATAGAATTCGTTTCCAATCCAACTGTCAACCACGGTCTGCTTTAGCAATTTTATCTTTAACCTCCAGCAACTCTGAAGGTTACATAAATGAGAAATCAACAATATTCGTTCATAACAAATGATAACAATTCAATTTTCTTCATTGTAGTTTTAATGAGAAGTACTCAAATAGATGTAGTAGAACGCGCAAATCTCGAAAGATAGCTAGCACTAGTAAAGATATCCAACAACATGACTGGTTACTGTAAGACACAAGCAACATTAGGTGCAAACTCCAATTAGTTGAACGTATTCTTGATCTCTTGCTAGAGTCTGGCGACTGTGTAACGATAGTCAATTACGAAACTGGTTTTTATAAGCAGAAGAGGTAACAATAACAATAAATTGGGAATATTCAAAGTACGGGGAACATTCTAACTACTAATATTCAATCTACTAATTATTTATCAGCCGTTTTGAGACCAGCGACGTATTGAGTGAGCGCAGCAGCAGCGCTTGTGGCGGCTCTGATGCAGCCGTCTACGTTGGAGTGCGTGAAGGCGTCGCCTGACAGCACCACCTCACCGCCCCCTACAGCAACACTGCCACCTCTGCTCTCCGGTACCGGCGTCACCACCTGCAGTACAACAGCCCTTGGTGCCACATGAGTACATACACACTATGCGGGCTAGCCATGCCGCTATTAAGTGTAATAATGATATTATTATACCTCATCTTCCCTGTGTGGTGTTTCACTTGATAATTCAAATAAAAAATTCTAGGACAAAAATTGACACTTCCATTGGGGTTGCAACTATGTTATATAGAAGACAATGGGTCATTTATGGGGAATATCGGCTAAACTATCGTAAATGTGTTCATGATTCAAAACTAAAAATCACAGTATTGTACACAGCCTATGAATTTAGTCAACAGGTGATAACACTCGATATATTTCTTTCGTTTTTGATGCTTTGAGTTATCGACATTGCTCAGCGCAGACTAAGACTTACTTGCGAGTAGCGCCACTTGTGGCAGAAGGCGTCGCACGGAGCAGGCCAGCTCGGGAAGAGGCGCCTGAAGCTGTCGAGGAGCTCAGGCAGCAGCGCCTCCTTCTGCTCCTCCACGCGCGCTGCCCCAAAGGCGCGCGACGTGTGCACCATAACGCTTAGGAAGCCATCATCACCTGCGACGATGTCATCATCACACTCAGGAAGACATCACCACCTGAGATGTCAACATCACACTCAGGGAGACATCACCACCTGCGATCATGTCAACATCACACTCAGGAAGCCATCACCACCTGCGATGATGTCAACATCACACTCAGGAAGACATCACCACCTGAGATGTCAACATCACACTCAGGAAGACATCACCACCTGCGATAATGTCAACATCACACTCAGGAAGACATCACCACCTGAGATGTCAACATCACACTCAGGAAGACATCATCACCTGCGATAAGATCACACGATCAAAAGAGAAATTAAAAGCAAAAAACCAAAAAAATGAAACATTTTCGTAATTTTGTATTTCCTAAAAAATTAAAAAAAAAAGCATAAACAACTGCAACTTCAATGAAAATACTGGCAATATTGGTCATGGCATCTTCACCAATAGACGAAATTTGGAACTCGCACGATTCTTTGTCATTGTCAAATTTTTAAATAAAAATTATGCAAATCATTCATCGTTAAGAAGGGATTCATTATTTAAACTCTTTAAACACCTCTAAACGTACACTTTACCAGCGGCCAGTCCTCGCCTCAGGTTGTCGATGGCGACATAACAGAACGGAGAGTCAGAGTTGGTGATGTACATGGCGGCCACGCCCTCAGGCAGAATAATCTGGTCAGCGACAGAGGCCGGGTAGAAAAGCCCAAGACAGAAGCGAGAACTATAGCTCACTGCCTCCAGCTCACTGCGCAGACCTGCCACCTTGTCTAAAAAATTAAGAAAATTACCATAATGCTAGTCTTTCCATTCATACTATCTTCACGATAATGTTAAAATTCTCTAATATGCAAGGGTCTATTCCAAAGAATACATATGTTGCTATTTGCTACAATTAGCGATTTCTTTGATAAAAACGTATATTTGAAATTGATGAATACCGGTACACTACTCTTACCATTTTCTACAATAAAGCTATAATATTCCACAATAAAGCTACTATATTCTACATTAAAGCTACTATATTCTACAATACCGGTATTGTACAATAAAGCTACTACGGTATATTCCACAATAAAGCTACAATATTCTACAATAAATCTACCATATTCTACAATAAAGCTACTAATATTTTCTACATTAAAGCTACTATATTCCACAATAAAGCTACTATATTCTACAATAAATATTCTACATTAAAGCTACTATATTCTACAATAAAGCTACAATATTCCACGATAAAACACACATTAATATTCTACAGCCAAAAATCGATCGTGACTAACAGTATTCATGGACCCACCTATGGCGGCGGTCAAATCTCCCCCGAGTGCCAGCATCTGTGGCACAGGCAGAGTCAACAGGACGGCATCGAAGAGCACCACTTCCCCGTCAGCCGCAGCGACTCTCCACCTGCTCTTGCCCTCACACTTGTCCCACTCGTACTGCAGGTCCCGCACTTGGGTGCCCAGCCTGCATTTGAGAAGAATAAGGTTTCTTTGACGTGGCTTGTTACAAAATTTGGGCCTGATGTTGGACAAATGTCCATATGTCACATCAAGTTTGCCATCGAGAGGGGGGCTAGCGGAATGAGATTCAGGTAAAGTAGTTGATGATTCCCTGAAGTTTCAACTCTGGCAAAACAAAGCAAGTATCATGGCCAGCGGAGGCAAGTTCATAGTTTTTAATGATCAGATTTATTTAGCAATTGGCATACATCAGTACTAACGTATGCCAATTAGAAGCCTTTTATACACATGCAAGATTACCTCCACCCTGAATAAAAATTTCGATACTTTCTAACATCACATTGAATTTATTCAGTTACAAAAAAGTTCTAAGACACAAATGGAAGTGCGGCATACCTGGCAGTGCACGCCGCCTTGTCAACAAAGTGCTGGACTACTGAAGACATGCCGTTAGGGGCGACAAAGTGACGAGTGTCTGGAGGATGGCGGTCATCAGTGATCCTACACGTCATCGGCTGCAGCACTCCTCGTGCTACCAAGTCAGAGTAATAGCTGCACAACACAGGCCCTGCGTCAAAACTCCCTATATTTAGTATTTATTTTTTAAACGGAACATTTATACACAGTGGTATATATGTTCATTCAGTAATATAATCTGCTTGAAATAATGTAGACATGAATTAAAAACGATGAAACTCTAGACAGTGAATTGCAAATGAATCATAATCCTAATTTAATTAATTATGAAGAATAAATTGATAAACAAGAAGAAATTCTAATGTCAAAAATAAGTCATAGTGGAGAAAATGGCTGAGTAAACAGAGAGTATTCTCTTAGGCCTTTAGAGGATGCATTTTTTTTAATTAATCGCAAGGGAATTTATGAATGATACAATGTCACCATTAGCCGGTAATTAGCAGGAACATTTTTGCATTAAAACAAACAATACAACACATTCGATGAGTAAAATCTTGTCTAATCTAAGGATTAAGAGTTAAAAAAAAAAACAGAGAAAATAAGGGCATGTAAATAGTCATTTTCATTCATGTAAACTGAAGTTTACAATTAAGAAATTATTTTGAAGATCAAAACAGACCCAAATTGATCCTGAAACCAACACATGGAAAAATTTCATCCAATAGTTAACAAAAAAAATTAAAATTTCTTCACAGGGTAATGTTCATGATAATACAGCCAAATTGAACATTGAAAAAATGTGTTCAATGTTACATATTTTCTGAAAATTTTTAATGAAAGTACTCATAATTTCAGTGAGGTTAATTAAATTAAAGCTGAAATTGGAAATAAAAGAAAAGCAATCATTGACCTATTCAATGCAGTTACGGTACAGCTGGTGCAGAAACTTGCAAAGATTTGAATGGTCCAACAAATTTGTGACTCTTATGGGTCATTTTTGAAGCATCTCGAGCTTATCATTCACTCCAGGCAAATTGAGCAAATCTTAGTTGTTCTAGTATTCATTTTCCAACAATATTTCCTATTTTTAAAGTAAACTTTACAGTTACGTTTTTCAAATACAGGCGGTAGGAATTTCATTGAAAAATATTGATCAATTAGTAAAGTGATGCTATAATAATTATTATTTGTGGTAGAATAAAAAATTTTTCATTTTAACTCCTATCAAGGAACTAAGGTCTAAGATCCACAAAAGAACTATATAATTGAATGGTTACTTGTTTGCCTATTCAGCCTCTTAACTTTACAAAAACTACGAACATAGCATGAGATTTTTCCAACTTGGCCAATTAGATACTCAACAAACTACAAATTGATACATACCAACATGTTGAAGATTCGCTTGTCACAACAAGATAGATATATAGCTGTATCCAAAATTATCAAGTGCAACTAAGATTCTTACAATACAATACAAAATTAGATGCAACTAAGCTATACTAGGTCCTGGTTAGAGGATAAAGTGATGAAATAAGTCAGCTGCTTAGCTCTAAACTCACCTCTTATGTGCAGCATAGTATTCAGGAGTGGAAGAGATGTACTGAGCCCCCACATCTACACCGCTCACTCGAGGTTCTGAGGGCTTACGCTTTGTGCACATTCGTCCACCTGATGTAATATCCACAACATTGTCAGAGCTTGAGTGGTAAGATATGATACCTTATGAGTTATGTCATATGATACACCACGAAAACCATGTTAATCCAACACAGACATGAGTTACTTTACCTATCTATAACTTTAGCAACTAAAGACACTATAAAAATAGCTAAGACAAAATTGACTCCAAAAAATCCACAAAGAAACAATTAGATCCTTTAACAACATTGTTGTAAAAGTCATTTTCCTTTTTTGGAGTCACATTGACTCTGGCCCATGGACTATATTATGCTTTGTTATCTGAACTCATTAAGTGGGGTTGAGCTAGTAAATGCAAATTATGTTTTTTGATGAAGCTATGGTAGTTAATTGAGGGAGACATGTGGTGCATAAAACAGGATTCAACCTATCATCTGTGATACGCAAATCTTAACTTTTTAAGAGTGACCATAAACTTGGTGAAAACCAAACTACCTATGTCAAATTCTCTAAATTTTTATCAACCTCCTCCATGAATATTTAAACTGGAATGTCTGCAAAGCCCATTGAAAAGTTTGAGTAATAAGATTAACTAACTAATCAATGCAATGAATCCTTTTGCGGGTAACTTACGATATATGGTCACTTAATGTTTCCTGACAAAAAAGTCCAGCTTGTCCCCTGGCTTGTGTTTGAGGCTACGTTATCATGCCTCTGACAAGCTCCTACCATCTGCTCATCCATCACCCTTTGATATGCCAAAGAAATAAAATATGAGTATTTAAATTAATGCTTTGACTATGAAATTGACACTTTTTCCATAATTTTAAAAAAGTTGGAAAAAGCAATATCAATTTTAGTAATTTAAAGCACCTGGAAAAAATTAAATTAAATTGCAACTTGATAGTTTCCCTTTGCCTTTGATTTAATAAATATTAAAAGGTTAATTTTTTTTTAGCATAGTGACCACTTTTTGTAGAATTTTACTCTGCAATTTAAATTAATATAGTGCAAAATGCTGAAAAATCCATTCAAATAAATCTATCTAATAATTGTCAATACCTTCTTGCAGTGGCGTCAGAAATTCAAATTTCTACAAATTTCTATGCTTGACCCCCAAATGGGTTAACCCTTTAGCGGGCAAGCATTGAAATATCCAGAAATTAAAATTTCAGAAACCATTTCAAGAAAGTAAGAAGTATTATACAATATATTTATTTATATGAATTTTTGCAAATTTTGCCTATTGAAGGTTTAAATCGCACTTAAAGAATTCAATAAATGCGATCAGTACACAAAATTTTTCTTTATAATTAAAATTTACTTTATGCAAATGAAAAATTAGAAACATAAAAATTTAATTTAATTAAATTTTATCGAGTTGCCAAAATAAATAAATATATATATTGATACTTCAAAATTTTGAAGAAAATGCAGAAAGAGCGTCAATTCCATTGTCCGAGTCAAAACCTTCATTTAAATGCACATATTTCAATTTGTGGACTTTGCAGCTGGTGATGCTATAGATAGAACAATGTTCAGATAATTAGTGATTGACTGAGGCATTATAAGGATGCCTCAAAAACAAACAGGAAGCCGTGGTGAGGCTTTTTGTGACGCGATTTCAAGTGATCATATATGGTAACTTACCCATGAAAGGGTTAAATGAGAGCAATCACTTTAGCCTTCTTACTAAGCATTCACTGATGCAGCAGCTAACACAACCAACATTAACAAACATATGTACCTACTTCAGGTTTTTTGGCAGAAAAAAAACATGAATAATGAAATTTGAAATATAACAATTTAATGACATTAACATTTTGTCATTCAACTCACCAAATCTGGATGCTTTGTCCCAGAGTTCAATGTGTAAGGCTGGCAGTGAACTCCTAAGCAGCGATGCTGCAATGGCCCCGGTCAGTCCTCCTCCCACTATACACACACGCATTCTGAAAAAGTTATTATTAGCCAGAACAATATTGTACATGCTTAGGTATTGTTGACTATCACTAACCAGTGATTAAATTTGTGCTTAAACTTAGCCAATTCATCTCCTTCAAAGGAACAAGCAAACAATGAAAATAATTTCACATATTAGAACTTAGAAAGTGGTGCAACAGTATCAATATTCTGTGTCCTGTGTTGTCAAAAAATTCACATGTTGCTGACAGTCAAGAAAAGAAGATAGGGCCGAGTCCGCCAAGATAAAAAAAAGCCAGACGCTCTCCTTGAAGTAAAGCAGATTTCAGAAGTTGAAAATTTTATGAAAGGACATCTTTGCGAAATGCAAACCGCAATTTTTTCAATCAAACAAAAATACATGACATTAGAGGCTTAGAGCCACAGCACGCGAGAGTTCATACCTACCTGCTGAAATTATAATTTATATGAGCTGCAATATTTCAGAAAAAAATATGACGTTTCCCAACGGCCCAACCTGCATTACTAACAGTACTCTGAACCGCTGCTATGCTGAGCTGAGGCGGCGGCCATAGTGGCAAAGCAGAGAGTTTTTTAGACTCTCCCTCAGGCCTAAAATTCATTTGTGAGTCCTATACCTATAAGTAGACCAGTAAAGTATCCTGGATACCAGCAGTATCATACATAAGAAATTGATTTAAATCTTGGGTAAATGAGGAAATTAAAAATGAACCGATTCTAAAAAAATCTGTGGTTTGCCTTTGCCACTATGCAGTGAGGCCTGACGCCTGAGGGCAAACAAGGTGGGTGGACAGGCTTGAGTACCTACTGTGCGTCTGTGCCTACTACACCGACAATTCAATTCAAGGCTCTAGTCTCTACTACAAATGCATTTTTATGGATAATGGATGTCCCGTTGCTCCCGTATTACCTGCGGCCGCGGGCCGCAGCCAGCGGCCTTGAGGCATGAGGGTGTCCACTGTAGTGACGGTACTGTACCAGAGTGTACCTTATTAGTATTAGGTACGGTGATTAGCCTACCCAGTCATTCGTGACCATCCTTGCACTACTATAATAATAATACCAGTATACCTGAGTGCTTGATATCTGTAGGCAAATTATCTGTGGAAAAAAATAAAATTCAGCGTTCAGACAAGATTAAAGAAAGGCTAATGTTTTGTGGGCACACATACTTTTTTGCTCAGTAGGTCACACTCGAAGTTGAATGACGAATGCTCGGAAGTCGCTAACGTAACGGGATGTATTGCATTCAATGTATTGTAGTCCGTTTTGATCTAACGGGTAAACGGGATGTAGAGCAAAACACGTGGCGAACAAAAGATCCACCGAATGTTGCGGAGAACCGAGTGATTCCGTAAATTACTAGCCCACAGGGCCGCACTCCACATCCGAGCAGTCTTTAACAGCAACACTGACCGCGTCATTTTCCAGAGGTCAACGCTTACATCACGAAAAAGACGCTGAAAACAGTAAATGCAAAATAGAAAGTTCTTAGTATTATTTTCATAGAAAAATAATGGTTGAGCAATCAACCAAATGGAAAATATTAATCAATATATGTAATCAACCTGGCAGGGAGGCCCAGTGGTTACAGTTCAGAGTACCATGATTGGCGCAGAGAGATGCGAGTTCGATCCCAGCTACCTGCGACAGTTTCTGGTGAGAATCGGCGAGGAGGCCGGGCGGTTAAGGGGATGCATGCCAGAGGCCAGCAAAGTTCGTGTGGTGAGATAGGTCAATTGACTACAACTGCTTAGGTGCCAGGATGACAATATCTATAGCATTTAGATGGTTGATGTTGGCTCCAGGGCTGATTTGAGCGTTAATTTGCTGGTCAATCTTCTCTCCTTTCATTCCACCTGTATGTACGTCCATTCACACCTAGCGCGCCTGCCCTAACACAAAACAGAAGGTCCCCACCTCTACTACCATCATACATACATTCAGATTTTGGCATCGCTTTCATCTGATACAGTCTTAGAGAGTCCTTTCCCTCCATTCCTTGCTTCCATACCTTCAGCCCATAGTCTTTCACTCGCTCATTTATTTCTCTTTTCCACTCTTTTTCATCCCACTCTATCCCAATCGCACCCCGTACTGTCACGCACCCATTCGTCCTTTGGCCTAGCGGGCCTTTGGCGCACCCATGCTTCATGCATGCCACACTTACGCACCACTGCCCGACATCTGCGTGCCCATTTGCTCACCTTCATGTTCCACATATACATCTTTCGAGCCCAACGTTCATCATCCATTCGCTCCAGTCTCACTTTATACCTCAAAACTGCTCTCATTCTTCTTTCCTTGCAGGTACTCCAACCCATGTCTCCTCTCAGGGCCTCTACTGCAGTCCACCTGGGGGCTCCTAGTGCCAATCTCGCCACTCTATTTTGTATCAATTCCAATTTATCTAGCTCGCCATCACTATATGCTATCACATCCAATCCATACATAATGCTAGGCACTGCTACACTCTTCCACACTTCTCTCAATACTTCATACATACTCGCTCTCACTTTTGCTGCACTTCCAAGTATACCCAACCATTGGTTCGCCTTACTTAAATTCGCGGCCTTTGTTCTCTGATATCCTTCATGGTCCATACACATCCCTAACTCCTAAGTACTTATACTCATTTGTCCTAACAATCTCATTTCCTCCCAACATCCACACTCTGCTCATATCCTCAATCGATCCATTCACAACAAGTACGTGGCTCTTCTCCGCACTGAATCGCACATTAAAGTCCCTCCCATACTCAGTCACACAGTCCAGCATACTTTGCAGTTCTTCGCTATTTTCACTCATAATCACAGCGTCATCAGCATACAGAAGCATTCTTAACCTTTCGCCGCCTACACGCACACCAACATCCATTCTCCTCACCCTCGTGACCATCTCCTCGTGAATAGCAAAAGAGATGCAAGAATATTATGGGTTACCTTAAAAAATAATTTCGTTAGAATGACGCTGCCCTTTCTTTTTAGACAGTTAGCAGAGAGGCAGATATGCATGGCTAACATGCACAACCAGAAGTTGGATCGTCAGCCCATTTTGTTTCTCAATCCATTTTTAAATTTTTTCGCTCCACTAAATTACTACCGTCAATGACACTCATGTCGCCACCTCACTTAAGTCACCACGTTAATAAGTGAAAAGGAAATAATTCTTAAAATAAAACCGATACGAAAATTTCTTTATAATAAAAATTATACCATTCGTTTGTATGGCTTAAACGTATTATAATGCACTTTCGAAGATTAATATGTAGTTAGTCAATAGATTCCAAATCAACATGACAGAAATTCTTCCAGCAAAACGAATTTATTCCTCCTCTCTGCACCGCGAAAAGGACGATGTTCTACTGTGAAAAACAGAAAAAGAGGTTCGTCTGACTTGTCTTCCTGATTTTCACGATATTGAAATATAGTTAATAATCTATTCTAAATATACCTGGCGATTTGTGTGAATACGATTCTGGGAGAATGGCGAAGTTTGTATTGGATATTTACTTTAGGAGGCAGAATTAGAAGATAAATTTTCGTTGCTAATTTATACCTACAGTTCAACAGTTGTGTATAAGTTAGACTTGAAATAATGTAAGCAGCATTCATCATCCATGTTCATTCTAACATAACTAGCAATTAGACTTTTAAAACGTTGTAAAACGACTTCTAAATTTGTGCACGATGTTCATGCAATGATTGGCGTTGGGCGAACGAAGTGTCATGCAAGCGTATCGCTGCTGTTCTGGCTCATTTAGAATATACAAGACACGAGCCGTATTTCAACTAAGTAAGCTTAATAAGGCAAACTACTCAGTTAAATCCCTAAAAATAGCTCTGAAAATGTATTTCAGAAGCCTAAACTTACTTGAGAAGATAAAACTCACGTCGTATGATATTATTTTATGTGTTATATAATTACGGTATATGCATTTGTTCAAATATGTTTGTTAATATGATTATTTTGTATCAATCATGGCAGGAGCATATGTTCAGTCTTAAAATGCCTAGCAAATTACGGACCAGCAGGCAAAAACTCCAGCAGTTATCTCAATTATCTCAATCATTCGTCAGTTATCGAAAGATCGGGTTCCAAAGGCAGGAAGGATCCCTTGTGATTCAAGTCACGAAAAGTCCAAAAATCGGCAACAGGCCATGGGCCTATTTCTTCAGTGCCGACACTTCTATTCTATTCTATGACTTCAAGAAAAAGAGCAAAGTTAAGATCGTGCAGGCAGGTGGACATGGATAGAGCTCTTGCAGACTACAGAGATAATAACTTTTCCACGTCAGCTGCTGCCCCTATGTTCAATGTGCCAAGCAAGACAATCTCAGGTCGCCTCTCGACGACAGGCAAGGATGACTGTGTAGTGTGTTCCAGGCAAACCAACCGCGCTGTCTGCAGAGCCTGAGCTGTTACTCAGTTATTACATTGAGTATATAGCCAATAGAGGTTTTCCTATGACTGTGGCCCCAATCTCAATGTATGCCTGCATGGTGCATTGATCGCAGGTCTGGAAGACACATTTTTATAGAGAGAGGACCTTAATTGCTACGGATGGTGGCTGAAGTTTCGTTCGATGTATTGTATGGCCTGTGTGTTGCATGGCCTTTGTGTTGCATGGTCTGTGTGTTGCATGGTCTGTGTGTTGCATGGTCTGTGTGTTGCATGGTCTGTGTGACCTTATGACCTTATGATGAGTTCGGGACTTCCTAGTCCCCGGTCACGCTGATGCGCCGCCTGCGTCGTCCTCCGTCTCCGAGTCATCGCTAGGCAGCTAGTCAGGTCGCCGGCGCCAAAGTGACGACTAAAATAAAGCCACCTAGCGATGTTCACATAAAATGTGTACGTAAAATATTAGCCAGTATTTGTTATAAATCAATCTCTTTCCAATTTGAATTGATTCATTGAAAATTAACTACTTCACAAATATCTTTATTCAATTGAAACAACGACCAGAACAAAATCGTGAGATCACAGTTGTCAAACACAGAGTTACGCTTGTCGCTTCTGAAATTACTGAATCAGCCAATTCTCTGCCTAGAGGCTGAAGAAGAGCACAATAGTAGCTTTTATGCATTGAGGGCGGCACAATCCACCAGCGTCGCCAGATGGCTTAGAAACTGCTAATTCCATGCATAATAAGGCATATAATTCAAAATATGCTAGTAATTTTATAGGTTCTTGTGCAAAAAAATTACATTTTTATTTATTTTTTCGTACTTTTTAAAATTTAATGAGG